ATACCAGGTGATGTATAACTAGATATCTATAATAACCAAAATTTTATAAGAATTAGTTAAATTGTACATTTTCCTGCAATTTTGTATGTATTTGAATTTAAAAGTTTTACAACTTTAAAACGTTTGTATTTTGGGCCCCCAATCTTATATTTATTCATTACCTCCTTCCTTCATTTTTGTTTATTCCTTTTCTTTTAATCATTTGTTCACACACTTGTTTCATCGATGCTAAAGTAAATCCTATCTCACCCTGACAAGGCTGTGAGCCTGCCGACAGAGGTAAAACATGAGTTCTTACTACCTCCTCTCTGCCAGATGCCATGTGAAGGGCAAGGTGGACCATGGGGCGGCCACAGCGGGGAAGTGGAAAGGTGGCAGCTGATGGCTGGGGTCACTGGGGCTGGTGTCCGCAGAATAGGGCAACCCGGCCAGGCGATTATGCAAGAGTGGAAAGTCCACTGGGAGGAAGAGAAGGAAGTGCTGAGGGCCATGGTCGCGGTACCCAGGAGGAGGTCCTGCTTGCAGCAAGCCCCACCAGCGACTTCCTCTGCATTTCCCCTTCCCATGCCCAAGTGAGCAATGCTGGGAGTCTGGTGTCTGTGCAGGGACCCTGAGGCAGCATCGTGTGGGACAGGGAAGACCAGAGACAAGCTGCATGTCCATCAAGGAGGGGGCATTTGCTGAGTGATTAAAGGACAGCTGCTCAGCAATGAGCCCAGTGCCCTGTGCTGCCAAGGGCCACCCTCCCAACATGAAGTTAAGTGAGGACACTCACCCATCATATGACCCCACTCGATCCATCCTTTGTTTTCAACTTTTTATTGAAGTAAAACAGAGCCACAGAACAGATCTGTCTACAAATCTTCTGGGCCTGGGGCTAGGGTAATTTTCAGAAAGTGAGCGAGCACTCTTGTGGAACAAGCATCCTTATCAAGAAAAGGCCCATCACATGCCACCTCCTGCTCCCCTCCAGTCACTACTGGCCTCCCACCACCCCAGGTCGCCCTGGCTTCCAACACCATAGACTGACTTGGGCAGTTTTGAGCTTGGTAGGAATGTTCTGCCTTCTCTCCCACCACATTGTGTCTGGAAGGTTCACCCTTGTGTGTAGCAGTTCCTTTTCATTACTCAGTAGTGTATCCTTCTGTGTGGGAAGATCCTAGATACATAAATAGAAATGACCAGAAAGGGCTTGCGAGGCTGGTCACACCCAGTGATGAGACAAAGAGTTAACGGGTACGCTTGTGAGCTGGCAGGATGGGACAGGCACAGAGTTAACAGGAGCGAGCTTGTGGGCTAACAGGAATGAGCTAAACATTGCTGGGCTCTGAATCCCCTGGCTAGCACTGCACCTGCAAGCTGACAAGCACCTTACAACCATCATAGGAGGGAACAGAACAGTTCCCAGGAGAAGACAATTGTAACGACAGCCTCTCTGAAAGCTGACAAGCACCCTACATCCTGCATGGAAAAATATAAAACCCCAGCACTCCTTCTCATTGGCGCAGAGGTCCCTATTGGGCTCTGCCCTGGCAAAACTCCCTTTGGCCGTAACTTTCAAGATCTTTGGCAGCTAGCTGTCTCTATCAGACTGCCCTGGCAAAACTTGTACTGCCGGAACACACTCCCTTTCTCTCTCTCTCTCTCTCTCTCTCTCTCTCTCTCTCTCTCTCTCTCTCTCTCTCTCTCTCTCTCTCTCTCTCTCTCTCTCTCTCTCTCTCTCTCTCTCTCTCTGTTCTTTAACTTTCATTAAGTCTTTTCTCTTGTAGTGGCAATGCTTTTTATCAGACTGAACTGGCAAAACTTTTGCCAGTTCGAAACAGAACTCTCCCCCTTTTTGACTTTTTTTTGAAGTTTGACTAAGCTTTTTTATTATTATTAAAATTTATTGGGGTGACAATTCTTAGTAAAATTACATAGGTTTCAGGTGTACAATTCTGTAATACATCATCTATATATCACATTGTGTATTCACCACCCAGAGTCAGTTCTTCTTCCATCACTAAATATTTGACCCCATTTACCCTTATATTTACCCTTATGACCCCTTCCCCTCTTACCCTCTGGTAACCACTAAACCTGTGTCTGTGTCTATGAGTTTTTGTTTCTTTATTTGTTTGTCTTGTTCCTTTGTTGCTTTGAGTTTTATATCCAAAATATCAGTGAAATCGTATGGTTGTTGGACTTTTTCTGTCTGATTTATTTCGCTTAGCTAATAATCTCAAGATCCATCAATGTTGCCCCAAATGGCACTATTTCATCTTTTTTTTATGGCAGAGTTTTATTCCACTGCGTATATATACCACATCTTTTTTATCCAATTATCTATCAAAGGACATTTTGCTTGTTTCTATGTCTTGGCCGCAATAAATAAAGCTTCAGTGAACATCAGAGTACATATATCTTTCCGGATAAATGTTTTCAGATTTTTTGGGGTATATATCCAGGAGAGGGATTGCTAGGCCATATGGTAATTCTATTCTTAATTTTTTGAGGAACTTCCACGCTGCCTTCCATAATGGCTGCACCAATCTGCATTCCCACCAACAGTGTGTGGGGGTTCCTTTTTCTCCACAGCCTCTCCAACACTTATTATTTGTCTTGTTGATGATAGCTATTCTAACTGGTGTGAGGTAATATCTCATTGGGGTTTATTATTTTTTTTAAGGTTTTATTGGGGAATTGAGGGAGGGGAACAGCGTTGGGGAATCGGGAAAGGGGAACAGACAAGTTGCTGTCCTTTTTGTTCTTTAGTCTAGTTGTGGAGGACGTCACTTCACTGGCCCATGTTGGTATTGTCATTGCGCTCTTCCCTGGTGAAGCAGTTGCTCGCACGTCACTGGATGGCTGCTCACGGCGGCTCACGGCAACTCATGGCAGCTCACTCTGGCTGCCGGCCAGCCCCACTACAGCCTACACCTTTGCTGGCGACTCACGGCAGCCCAGCTCCAGGTTGAGCTGCCGTTCACCATCTTAGCTGTAGAGGGCGCATGTGGGATCCGAACCCAGGCCCTGCTGCTCAGAGCTGGTGGCCCAAGCCAACTCCTAACCAACATGCCACTCGGTGGGCCCTCATTGTGGTTTTTATTTGCATTTCTCTGAGGATTAGTGATGTTGAGCATCTTTTCATATGTCTGTTGGCCATCTGTATGTCCTCTTTGGAGAAATGTCTCTTCAGGTCCTCTGCCCATTTTTTAATTGGATTGTTTTTTTTTGTTGTTGTTGAGTTGTATGAGTTCCTTATATATTTTGGATTTTAGCCCCTTATCAGAGGCGTTGTTTGCAAATATATTCTCCCATTTGGTTGGTTGCCTCTTTATTTTGTTAATGGTTTCTTTTTTTGTGCAGAAGCTTTTTAGTTTGATATAGTCCCATTCATTTATTTTAGCTTTTACTTCCTTTGCCTTTGAGGTCAAATTCATAAAATCTTCTTTGAACCCAAGGTCCATAAGTTTAGTACTTATGATTTCTTCTATTCAGTTTATTGTTTCAGGTCTTATTGTTTAGGTCTTTTATCCATTTTGAGTTGATTTTGGTACACGGTGACAGATAGCAGTCCAGGTTCATTTTTTTTGCACGTGGCTTTCCAATTCTTCCAGCACCATTTATTGAAAAGGCTGTCTTTTCTCCATTGTACGTTTTTGGCTCCTTTGTCGAAAATTATCTGTCTATATTTCTGTGGGTTTATTTCTGGGTTTTCAATTCTAGTCCCTTTTTTGACTTTTAATAAATCTTTTCTTAGTCTTACAGAGTCTTATAAATTCTTTTACGTTCTGCGAATGACCAGGGGTTAATTCTACACCAAGATACCCAGAGCTGGTGACCTCCAGGTGGGGTAGGAAGGGCAGCAGTGACTGAAGGGGCCCTGTCAAATAAATCATTCTGGCCCAGATGCCAACCCTTGCCCCCAGTAGCTCAGGGGGACCCACGGCTCAGAGTGCCTTTGCCATGTCTCTCAATCTTGCAATCTGCCCATCTGAGCTACAAACTGGCCCGGCCCACCTGAGCCTGCAGCCAGACTGCCTGGGTCTGAGACACCTGTTGTGTAACCTTAGACCAGCTCTATAACCTCTGAGCCTCCCAGGCCTGCATCTGCCTGGCCCTAGTGCCCCAGGCTTTAGTGAGAGAGGCCCCAGCCTCTTTTCCAGCATGTTGTTCCCCTCTTCAACTGTGCCTCCCAAATCCCCTTCTGGGCAGAGATAGTGATCCCATTTCATGCAGGAGGAAACTGAGTCAGCTCTGAGGGTTCATTCTTTGCTCAGGATTTGAACTTAGGTCAGCAAGTCTGTCCCATCTGCCACTGGCACTCAGGCAGGCTGACACAACGTGGATGTGCACCTAACACTTGCACACACTTCCATGGAGGCATTCATTCATTCATTCATTGAATAATGCAGTTACTATCCAAATATTTATGGAGGGCCCATTGGGTGCCAAAACAGGCCAAGCCCTTGCTCTCAAGGGGCTCACACTCTGGTAAGGAGAGACATTAAAAAAAAAAATAAAATAGGTACTATGCCAGTTATGATACATGCTCTGAATAAAAACAGAAAAGGAGCATGGGGGAGGCATAAAGTTTTGCTGTTATGTGTAGTTATCATGGAAGGCTTCTCAGGGGAGGTGCCATTTGAGCCGAAACCTGGAGAAAGTGAGGGATCTGTGGGAGAAGATGACTCCACAGCGAAGCCCTGAGGTGGGGGCAGCTTGGTGTGTTCCAGGAACAGCGGAGAGGCCAGTGGTGGAGAGGGGGCCAGGAAGAGAGGGGTGACAAATGGGCACCCCCCCCCCCCCCCCCCCCCCACCTGTGGAGCCTTGCAGGCCACCGGGAGGACGAGGATAAGCACTTCCTCGCACACATGCGTGTGTGCGGCTGTCCACATTCACTCCATGGGTGTCTGGGGAGTCCCAGAAACTGAAAGAAGGAAGCCCTTTCTGGGCCCTCCTGCCCCCTCCTGCCCCCAGCCCTGCCGCAACAGCAGTGACTTCCTCTTTCTAGCCTATTTAAGCCCAGCCGGGAGCGCCCCGAGAAGTGAAGCCGCGCACAGCCCCACCATGGGGGACACCTTTATCCGTCACATCGCCCTCCTGGGCTTTGAGAAGCGCTTCGTCCCCAGCCAGCACTACGTGAGTAGCGGGAGCGGCCTGCCAGGCGCGGGTGCCACACAACGCCGTACCCGCGACGCCCCAGGGCCACCGCCCGAGACACGGTCTCCCTGGACGGCTGAGGGTGGAGGGGCGGGATCGTGGGCAAATGGTTCCCCGCCTCTGGGCCTCAATCTGCGGATCCGGGTGGGTGCGCAGCAGATGCGTCCCCTGGCGCCCTGGCCCCGCCAGCCACTTAGCGCCCCAGCCAGGAGCCCCTCTCCGCGCCCTGGACCCTTCCCCGCAGCCAGCCAGCCCTCACGTGCAGGGCGTGCTCCTCCGGCAGCCCTCCCTGACCATCCAGCTCTCAGGGAGAGGTCCTCCCGGAGGCAGGGCGGGCGGCAGGCTCTCTGTTCCCCCAGTTGCCCGTGAGGTCAGTTACGTGAGATCCGTATGCCCTCCAGTAGGGTGATATCACCTCGGGTGCCAAAAAAAGTCCCCCTCCTGCCCCTGGAGGGCTGGGAAGTGTCTGCCCAGACGTGCCCACCCCACCCCACCCCCTTCTCCTTTCTCTCTCTGAATATAAATTTTCTGAAACATTGGAGAGTAAGTTGTAGGCATTGTGTTTCTTAACCTCTAAAGACTTTTGGTGTGTATTTCTTAAAATCAAAGACATTCTCTTACATAATCAGGAAACTAACATTGATGAAACACTGGTACACAATCCACAGACTTTATTCAGAGTTCACCCCTTGTCCTCCTTGCCCTCTGCAGGAAGAAATTTTCAGGGCCAGGATCCAATCCGAATCACCTGTTGCATTTCAGTTGTCACCTCTCTTGAGCCTTCCTTCATCCGATCATCCTTAATGAGTCTTTGTCCTTCTGAAGTTTGACATTTTGAAGAGATGAGGCCTGTTATTTTGTAGAATGTCCCTCGATTTGGGTTTGTCTGATACTGCATTAGGTTCAGGTTATGCAGAGGTGGCAGGAATACCCCAGAAGTAATGCTGTGTTCTTCTCACTGATCCTATCAGGGGGCAGGTAATTGTCACTTGTTCCCATGTTGGTGATGTTAATCCTGATCACCATGTCCTGGACATGTCCTCCAAGTTTCTCTACTGTAAAGTTACTATTTTCCCCTTTCTAATGAACAACTAACATTTGGGGAGATTATTTGAAGCTCTGTGAATATCCTGTTCCTTACAGTACATTGCTGGCTCTTGCCTGAATCAAATTACTATAGTGATTGCCAAAGAGTGATTTTTAAACTCTATCATTCCTTCTGTGTTTATTAGTTAGCATTTTACCATAAGGATCTTTTCTTCTCCTTCCTTCCTTTCCTTCCTT